ATATCGGGGTTCAAAATGAATACAAAATATTCAATTCCTAACTGTAAACAAAGAAAAACTGAGAAAAACTGAAGAAAAAAAGCAATTTTTACCAATATATTGCATTTTTCGATCTGATGCCGGACTTTTTGAATCTTTTCAAGTTTATATCTGGATAGAGCATAAAAAACTGCATCGAATTGATATAGTCTCACTTAAGTTCCAAAATGTTCAGTGCACTAGAAATATTGGAAAAGAGCGTATAAGCTTAGTATACTGAAATTTTACTCGTATATCGTATTTTTTGATCGAATACCGGCGATTGGAATGTTGCATCTAAAAATGCTTTTCTAGATCTCCCAATGACTATTACATGCGAAAGGAGGGTCAAAAATCTGGTCAGAACCTTAAAATCCGCATATAGGAAAAAAGGTCTAATTTTTCAGCACTACATTTTTGAACTTTGAGATAGCGAAATTCGTGATCAGCGTCGTCGACTTGTTAGTTCGAATCACTTTAAAAAAAAAAATTTCAAAAAAAAATTTCTTCGCATTCCCCTAAGGGGGGCGGGGGGGTACGGGGGTCGAAAACCCGGAAGTGATTTTAGGGAAAATTAATATGCTAGATTTGTAGCCCATTTCGATCTTTTTTATTTTATAACACTCATATAGTTATTTCTTGAAAATATCTGGGGTTGGAAAATGGCCTTATCGACCCTCCTCCTTTCTTACCATACGCTAATTATTCATTATTTCCATCTGTACTCTGTTTTCCCGGTTTAGTTGCAAATAAAATATCATCTTATTCGAGTCGAAGATAATCCGTCGGATATGTTGCTGATAGTGGTGTTGATGTTATAGGTAAAATAACACGGTAAACCTAAAAGTAAAAATAATAAAGTAGTAGAAAAGTTAGTCAAAACTTTCAAACTATCTACCTCTTTTTCATAATTTGATAAATGAAGTTTCTCTTGAATAAAGTCTCAAATCCCATTGATATTGTTTTTGTCTATCGAAATCAATGCATGTAGAGATTAAATCGTGCATCACTTTTCGTTCCATTGATGATATTTCAGTAATACCAAATGCTAATGTTATATAAAATTGTTTACGATATAATGGAAGAACAACAGATCAAGCTAAAGTACAAAGGATGCAAATTATCAATTGAGAATTCTCAGCGTCAGTTATATTTTTTTTCGTTTGTATACTCAAAACAGAGTATGGTAATTAGAATCTTTTTAGATTAAAAACTATAAATTTATACACATATCATATTGATTTAGCATTGTTTGAATATCGTTTCAATAATCTTTCGCGATCTTTGTCTGAATATAGCATAAAAAATTGTTGTTCACCAATTAATTGCAACGTTAAATGCCGAGATGAAAAAAGGTTCACGATAACGATGTACAATATGCTCAAATGTTTTATGAATATGATAAATATAACGATCTGCTATTATTACATTGGCACATAAGTTCTGCACGTTTTTGATATTGCTCCGGTAAGAGAAAAACCCAAGACAATAAAGTGCTCAATAGTAGTGAAAGTATATAACAACCAGAAAAATCCCTTTCTCTACTTAACTTTATAAATTAACAATCAAACAAGCGGTTTAGACCATGATTCAATGAGAAGAAAAAGAGAAATACTGATAGTTAGAGTGACTGTACATATTTAGTCATATTCACATGAAGATCATGTGTGACACACATTTAAACCACTTGTTTTTATATTTTAATTTATGAAGTTAAGTAAAGAAAATGATTTTTCAGGCAGAGTCACATTGTCATTACAACAGATAAGAAGGAATATCATTAGAATTATTCTCCTTCCCCCTTTTTTCTTCTTAAAAATAAGTGGTAGTCGAATATAGAAGGACAGTAACAAATGTATATATTGTTGCCTCCTCACGACCATGCGGTACTGTAATATATAACAGTGACGATCAGGCCTAGTCAAAATAAGAATAGTTTATATTTTTTATCTTTGCCCACTCCCACATGCACACTTATATGTAACGAATTCTCTTCACTTCTTTTACATTTTTATTTTAATAACACAAACTGAAGAGTATCTTTAGAAGATCGAAACTAGTCCAGTGTTTTTTTATATAAATTAGAATTTTATTGTTTTATTAGTTTTTCTTAAAAAGCATTTTTTATATTTGTCATATATCCTTATTAGTCTTAAATGATTTTTTATCAGCGAATCGCATATATAGATATATAAATAAAAACGGGATATCACCAACGACAAAAATATTTTTGGATCATAATTGCATCTTGAATTACATTGACAAAGAAAACGGGTTTTTCTCTTATCGGAAAAAAAACGTGCAGAACTTATGTGCCAATGGGACATATTACGAAAACTACAGTTAGACAACATTAAATAAAAAACTATATCGAAAAAAGCCTACACTCAGCCCCCTATCTTCTCTCTTCTCGTTTTTATAAATACGGTATGCCTTTCCTTTTATATTGTTAGCCGTGTCAGTCGTCTTCCACCTCTTCCTCGAGTGTCGTGTGAGTGTGTTGGTTGTATTGGAGCTATAAAGCAAGAGGTGAAAAGAAGCATATCATCATAGTTCTCAGTTCTTTAAAACGTTTTTTGTTCTGAGTAGAGATGGGCATCGGGACCAAAAAAATTTTCTGGTCCCGGTAAAAGATTTGATTGCCGTTCCATCACCTTCACGGTTAAAATATCATTTGGCCGTGCATTTTGTAGAGAAATATTTGCTCTTTCAGATTATATATTCTAAAATATACCGCAGACCTTCGTTACGAATAATTTGACAAATACAATGACCGGGACCAGATTGGTCCCGGTCATGTATTTGCTAAATTGATTGATAAAAGAGACTCGCGAAATATTTTAGAATATAGAAATCGCATACCAGTGTTAGGCGAAGTTCGCTCCTGGTTTAGTAACGACTCCTGGCAACAAAAGGCATATGACAAAATTTATCGACTCATGCGATCGTACATGGGCGCTTTAGCTGCGGTGGCCGATATGGTCGGGGTTCAGCAACAGCTATTGGCGGATTGGCATTTTACCAGTTTATCGTCGATGCAATTATTAATGACAATGAAGAAGCACTCCGTGCAGCTATTGGCCGGGTGAGCGATCCTCAAGCTAAAGCGCTTTACTTCGCTCTCCACGTTCCATGCTCAGTTTGTTGATTACATGGTAAGTTTACGTTGTCCCGTTTTGAAAAAAAAACTTTTTTGGAATATTCAGACAAACACTGGTCTCATCTGCCCAAAATGATTATTTCATACCTCATATCTCACTCACCATCGTCCTTTTTTAAGTTCTTTTGTCTATTCGTGTTATGTATGTATGGGAGAAAACATTACAAAGTTTGGTCCTCAACGACACAAATTAGAATGAATACGTATTTGGTGATTCTTTGACTGAAAATATTTATAAGTCTTGTTTGAAAGATGATTGTAAAAAACTAAGTTGGGAATAGAAGAAAGAGGTACAGACATATATTAAGGGGAGGGGGAGGGGCTACTAAAACTTTCTGTTTGACGTGAACATTTTAGCCGAATTATGTTTAGACGGAGGTCTATAAGTTTCCTTCATCCAGTTCAAATGATATCGAATCACAGAAACACTTTTCCGGCGAAATCCAGAGAAATTCTGGGCAATAAAAGTTTCTGTTCCACATTGGTTTAGGATATTTTGGAGTGGAATATGTTTGCATATATATATGATATAGAACACTTTGGTTGTTCACTATCCGGTGAACTACAACACTTACAAGTTTTGGATTTAAATAGTGAATAATATTGAATTACGCTGAAAAAATCTGCTAACAAGAAGGTCGGGAATCCCCTCACCCCCCCCCCCCTTCTTAAGACGTATGAAATTGGAGAAGAGAAAATAAATACCACAACTAGGTAACTTCCAATATAAAACTTATAGTGTAAATAAAAAGATCAGTTGAATTATTTTATATTCACGAGCTAGAAATAAAACTAAGATATTTGTTAGAGCGCATAAACACTCGATAAAAAAATTCACATCAAACTCATCCGTGAAGAAACCCCATCACAATAGATCTAGGATGCAAACACGGTATTAGTTTGTATTTCTCTCTTTGTATTCTAGAAATAACAAGAGACAATACTGATTATTCAACATCCACTGCTAGAACATCAAGAACAAAAATACTCTCTTTTCCGAGTTGTTATTTGTTGTGAGATGTTTCAGTATTGAATGAATAAACAAGAAGAAAAACTTGTATTACGTCAATGTTCACTTATTATTATTTTCTCGCACCCATACAGAGAAGCGTTCTCACTTTGTCATCTTCCTGTAAATAAAGAAATTTAGTAATTAAGGTGGGACGGTTCGAATACTAACACTACGTCGGTATTGACGAACCATACCAGCTGTTAGTATTAATAGTGAGTGAATCTGAGAATTGGTATTGGTACCGATCTTCTTTAAAAAGAAGAAAAAAAATGTTTAGTATTACTTCTGGGAGCTTTTACCGTTCTATTTTCAACGATCTAATCGCATTTATGAAAAAAGTTGAGTTCCAGGCCGAGAGCGAACCCGAAAAACATGCAACGTAAGAAAGAAGTGAAAACACGATCTTGCCAGGACAGTACATAATCATTTTTTTCTTGCACGGGCCGGTTATGAGGGGTCCATTGCGTGAGATTGAACATAAGATGTGGTGCTTTGTATATATTGATGGAGATGCTTAACATATTCATATGTCTGAACGACACTTGTTATTGTTTGTGGCAGATCAAATGGTAAATGACAATGACAGCCATACATTAATGCGAATGGTTCAATTTTTGTTGTTGCACGCCGAGTATTATTATATGCCGTAACTGCTTTTGACAACTGTACGTCCCAGTCACTTCGATTTGTGTTTGACAGTGCAGCTATACTATCACAGATGGTTGCATTAATTTTCTCAACGACCCCATTGGTCTGCGGATGGTACGGAGTTGAGAATATATGACATACACCACACATTCAAATCTCAGATCAAATATCATTAAACAATTGAGCTATGAAGTGTGGACCCTTATCCGTTAATAGTTGAATAGGTGCCCCATATTTAAGAATAGCTTCTTCAACAAAAAATTTAGCAGCAGTGATTGATGTTTCATCACGAGTTGCTTTGACAATCACAAATTTCGACAATAAATCAGTAATATATTTATTTCCAGTTTTTAATGGTGGTGTTATTGTGAGAAAATCCATAGCTAATGTTTCCCATACTCCTCGTGGTGGTGGTATTGGTTTTAAAACACCATCAGGTTTCCTCCGTGAATGTTTTTTGACCGCACAATTATGACATTGTTGAACATATTTCTCCAAAAATACCTGTCTCTAATTTTATAATATGTTCTTTGAGCACCAAGATGAGCTCCATTATGCGGAGAATTGTGATATGTCAACAGAACATCATCAATCATGCTGTGAGGGAGAACTGGAAGGAAAATTATCGTGTTTTTCCGTTGTAATATCTTGTATAATACATCATCTTTAATCACGTAATGTTGTTTTGTTCTTCGATGTTGAATATTCTTGATACAATTTTATCTCTTTGCTGACGTTGTTTTAACCGATTCAAATCAATATCATAGATTATATTTTTATCCACTTTTGCTGTTGATTGATTCACCAGTTGAGATGATAGAGATAAACAAGGAGTAGGAGCTCCCTGAATTTGATTTTCACTTGTTTTTACGTTACTTGATGATACTGAAATAGGTAGTTGAGGCTGTTGAGCAATTGTTTTTACCATTGCACGAGTAATCACCGATAGATAGTCTAAATTATCTTCTATCTGTGTTGATTTACTCATGCTCATTCCACTAGATGCCAAACCAATAGGAAACCTTGACAAACAGTCAGCCATACAATTGGATTTTCCCTTCACATATTCAATAGTAAATGTGTGTCTCTGTAATTCCATTCTCCATCTGTTAAGTTTTGAATTATTTTGATATTGTCTGTTTAGCCGACAGAGGGCATGATGATCCGTTAAAACGTTGAAGTTTTTTCCAGCAATATATGGTTTCCACAGTTTAATTGCTTCCACAATTGCGGAGCATTCCCGATCAGTAGTGTTCCAGTTTTGTTGCTGTTTATTGAGTGACTTTGAAATATATGCAATTGGATGATCTTCTTCAGGACCAACTTGACCCAGCACTCCACCAATATCTATGCTGGATGCATCTATCTGTATCTTGAATATCAATGATGGATCGGAACAATGAAGAATAGCTGTTGTTGATAATTCATGTTTGATTTTGTTAAATGCTTCTTCTCCTTCGGAACCCCATTTAACATTAGCGCAAAATCGACTTTTTATACGGGGAACAGAATCGGTCCAAATTTTTTTTCTGAAGAGCTTATTATGTGAATCGACGGGCAGCAAAGTGTCTCTTGATTCAAATCACTTTTCGCATTTTGGCGCGAATAGTGGCGCCACTTAAAACGCGCTACTATTTGCGCC